TATTATTGTCTCCCTTAATTCCTAGTGGAACATAGGGCTTCAAGCTAGAGGCTTGAAGTTTCAGTAGCAGGGGTGTTTTACGGGATTGGGGTTGTTAGCCTCATGCCTAACCTTCCCTTTTTACCAGTCTTATTACTGGCTTAGCCAGGTAAAGGAGTGCGTTGGTGGGGGATTGATCCCCTGCAAGCATTCTACCACTGAGCCACCGACACACACAAAAGATGAACTCTTAAGACAGTATTAAAATTAACCTTAGGAATACGAGAGATAACTTTAAATGCATTGTTAACATCAACTTTGTCTTCAGTAATTTATAAGGTGAGCTAGAACAGAACTTGACGACACAGTATGATGTTCAGAAATTCTATGATGGATATGCCTTTATTGTACGCTAAGTGTAGTCAGCAAAATGAGGAAGTTATCGAAGACATTATTATTTACACAATCTTTTTCGTCTTTTAAATGTTTGAAAATTAGAATTTTCTCTATTTTTTAAAGTTTAGTATTAGCCAATATAAATCCAAACTGGTTTCGACACTATTTTGGTTGCCTAACACATTCTTAGACTCCATAGCGGAACGGTATTATAACCAGATAAGTTGAATAAGCCTTACTCAAGAAAATCAACTTTACCCTAATTATTCTAATTAAAGGGTATTAAACTTGAACAAAGCAAGAACAACTATTGTACCAGGATAATATGAGCTCATCTTTTATTATTTCGAGGATTCTTCTCAACTGGTTACAACCTGAACGATGAAAAATATGAATTACATTACATTAAAGATTTGAACATAATTTTCCACGATCACAAGGAGTAATTGGTGGGAAGTAAAAGTAACATTAGTCCGGAATGACTTAACTAGTTACAAACAACTGACTATTTATAGAATAATTCAAATGAATTGTGATCAATATTTGACAGTTTATAAATATTTATAGAATAATTAGGCAATTAGGCTTGGAAACAAAAACAAACAAGCTGTTGTATATATTTTTTCACCAAGGCAGTGCAAGATTCACCACCGTCTCTTTCTGAGTACATAGATTTGGTTTAAGTCGTCTGATAGCAATTGCTTCAGCAAAGCGTAGCAAGTTAGGTTTCTTTTGCTTGTTGATTATTTTGAATGACTTCAAGTTGTCTACATTATGACCAGTGCAATTGCGCGTCATCTATTAGACACTGGTCATAATGTAGACAACTTGAAGTCATTCAAAATAATCAACAAGCAAAAGAAACCTAACTTGCTACGCTTTGCTGAAGCAATTGCTATCAGACGACTTAAACCAAATCTATGTACTCAGAAAGAGACGGTGGTGAATCTTGCACTGCCTTGGTGAAAAAATATATACAACAGCTTGTTTGTTTTTGTTTCCAAGCCTAATTGCCTAATTATTCTATAAATATTTATAAACTGTCAAATATTGATCACAATTCATTTGAATTATTCTATAAATAGTCAGTTGTTTGTAACTAGTTAAATCATTCCGGACTAATGTTACTTTTACTTCCTACCAATTACTCCTTGTGATCGTGGAAAATTATGTTCAAATCTTTAATGTAATGTAATTCATATTTTTCATCGTTCAGGTTGTAACCAGTTGAGAAGAATCCTCGAAATAATAAAAGATGAGCTCATATTATCCTGGTACAATAGTTGTTCTTGCTTTGTTCAAGTTTATTAATGGGAAGAATTGCATGAAGTTTTTTAAAGGGTATTACTTTGTAAGGTATATTCCTACATAATATGAAGCTACACAAACTAAGTAGGTACTAGAGTATACCAGTGGTTCAATGGTAGACAGCTAGCCAGTAATGCCGGATATCTGAGTTTTGATTGTCGGCCAACGTACTCCTGGAAACCTCGTCTAGTTTATTAGCCCATAAGTGTGGGCTAGCTTGAACATGAGGCTAGCGATTGCATCCTGTACAAAGAAATGAATACTACCGCTGCTGAAAATTTCAAAGCTTGAAGCTCCCCCACCCCTTCTCCGATGTTTCAATCGGAACATGATGTAACGTTTAATTATTTATAGGAAGGAGCAGATATATTCTATGATGTTTTCTTAGACCGATTGAAGCATGTCTCACTAACAGTTCTATCGCTCCATATAATTGTGGAAAACAAATAAACTTCAAAGGATAAATATACTATTCAGAAACAAGCCTCCCATCTTCGTGTGAGTGTTCAGGTAGTCTACTGAAGGATCATGTATTCGGAAGTATAATTAGACTGTTGAAAACCACTAAAGTGACTAGGCTTGAACTCATTCTGTATATGCACAGAGCCGCCAAATGTAAGGCGATGTTACAGGACTGGACTACATTGACTCCTAGCTTAGAAATAGGGAGTGAAGTGGTAGAGCACGTTGACCGATTCACTTATTTGGGAAGTTGCATCAGCCAGCCACAACGGATTGATCACTGGACTAAATCTCAGCTCGAATACAGAAGGCTCGGTTCGCATATACCAGTTTACACCGTCTCTGGCGTAGACGTGATATCCGGTGGGCTGTCGACCAGAGGGCATGTGTACCGCTCAGCAGTCCTATACATCCTCCTTTATGGCTGTGAGACCTGGCTATTGAGAGTGGAAGACATGAAAAGGCTAGATGTCTTTGATCACAGGTGTCTGCGTTCTATCTCCCGTGTTAGATGGTATAACAGGGTGAGCAATATTGAGGTTAGGTTTCGGTCGAGGGATGGGTAAGGAGGGGAAATCAATCGACGAGGCTGTGAAGCTACATCGATTGAGATGGTTAGGACATGTGTTACGCATGCCTTCCTCGATTGGCAATGTTAGCTGACAAAGAGTTAGCCAGTGGTGGTCAAACCAAAACATGGCTTCATCAGTCAATGAAATCCACAACAGTTAGTTTAAGCTAGACACATAGGAAGATGTAGACTTCCTGGTTGGGGTCGTCGGGACGGTAAAAGCCAATGATAGCTGGAAACAATCGGTGATATGGCTCAAAATCGTTGTCAATGGCGCAGATGCAACCACTCCTTGTGACTTATGATACTATATTGTTCTTCGTTATTACTGTCTCATATCCCTGTCTAGTGTCTCTATTATGCATTTCTTCTCTTGCTTTGTGTGCTACATGGAGTGTGGCAACTTGAACTGCTGCACATCGGTGCAAAGTTCTATGTTGAAAACAGACAGTATAGGCATAACTTCAACAGTGTGGACGTATGTAATTTTCTGTTAATTGGCTTATATTATATAGATCGAATACTGAGGCAATATTATTCTCTGGATGACAGTTCCAACGCCACCTTCTGTTCATAATCACATCAGTAGTAACTACACAATTCCGAAACTCGGTTATTTTAGTTCTAGCCGTTCTTCACACATGTCATATGGGGCTGAGTCATTCTTGTTGCATGTACTCCCTAATGATTCAATTTATAAGCTCTCAGTTACCAATCATCTAATCCACTCCGTTAAATTACACATTTTACGAATGTCACCTTGTCCTATCCTATTGCGTAGTTCCACAGATGAGACACATACCAGTTTCTTCATCTTAACAAGATTCATGAGTCCCACTTTCTTCAAGTGTTTGTATTTTATTAATCTAACTAATCCCGGTATAAATAATTCACCCCATATTCATTACATGATACTAAATAAACTTAATTATTCTGTAAACAAGCTCCTCTAACCGTCATAAATTGTCTCCATTCTTATTAAGAATCAAGTGCAGTCACTCAAAATTCCCCCAAGTTTAACGATACTACAGACATTTGCTGCCTGTATCACCGATATCTTTAGTATGCGACCTAACATTAGAGATTGCCCTTCATCACCCTCTAACATATAACTGAATATGAGGCAGTTATACTTCAGTAACCATCCCAGTCGGAATTGAAAATTAACCTAGTCACCAACCGCAATGTTGTTTAGTGATATACTCATCAACTCAGACCCTTTTTTATTGCCATATATAGGTCAGCTTACATAGAAAGACGGGAATCCCAAACACTTACCAACTTGAAAATTGTTTCACCTGGATAAGTGGTTGCTAATGAGCAGGCAAGTGGGTGATTTCTCTCTAGTTGGTAGACTGATTATTAATCGACGCGTATGCCCTAACTCTACATTTATAGCGACCTTCCTTTTATATGGTATACGTCTGTCTATGCTACCCATACGTCGAGTCTAACAGCTTCAGAGAGAAAATCAACAATAGTACCAGTGTTGGCAAATTGTATGCGAAAAGACGTTTGGCAGCCAGAGAAAAAACAGTCGCACCATGCTATCAAAATCGATGATTTGCTAACTGTGAAATGGTGCTATGCCGACTTTGTAGGGATTAGGAGACCTGTAGTTTTTACGCAGGTAATGAAAGTCCAGCAGCCGATTACCTTAGCCAGTTGCTCCTTTAGCTAGAGTAAATACAAATAAAAGTAAGTCACTACCTTATCTAGACAAATACTGACACAACCATAGAGTAGGACGTTTCTTGTTTGACTGTTTCAAATAATTGCTGGCCCACTGTAGTTCTACCAGATAGGAATTTTTCAAAAGTCGACTGGCTTCTTAAGAGCAAAGAATACTCACTCAACATGAAGGGGGAGATACGTGGAAAGCAGGACTTTTCCCCTTACTTCCTTACGACAACTAATCATAGCTAACGCTGAGTTCACCACACCCAATGCAACCTCTTGACCGACTGCTTTTACTACTTCTCGAAATAGTCACATCTTTCTAGTAAACCTATGGGACCTCAATTCCAAATGGAATCCCAGTGATGAGTCATGATCAGGACTACAAACCGAAGGTATGGTTACTCCGTAATACTCTGTCAGCCAAGGCTGTGGCAGCGCTAGAACAGTGATAGGCACCAGTGTAAACCGTAGAAATGAAACAAGTGGCCATCAACAACACAATAATGCTTGCAGTACGAGTTAACAGAAACAAGATTAATTGTCATAAAGGCAACTTTACGGCTCCTGCTTTGTGATCAAGTCTACAGAACATATCACACCCTATCTGCATGTCATATGGGCTACTGCTACGAAAAGAAGTACACACGAATGTGAATGATTAATGAGAACCTAGAAATATAATGATGAAAATACAGTGAACAAATGTACCATGACAAAGCAATAAAAAGCAGAATTATTCTGTTAAGAATTGTAATAAGAACATAGTTAATGGTGCAGAGTTGTAAAAATGCTCATGTACAGACGGTTTACGGACTACCGTCGTGTGATATTTGGGCTGTTCACTCAAGTGATTTCCTAGGCCTTAATCTCTGGTTTCTTCTCCTCTTCTTCTTCTCCTTCAGTTCCATTCTTTTCGAGTTTTTCAGCATCCGTGCTCGGCACCTCGAGATCAGGGAGATCTGAAGAAAAGTAACACGAAAAGAGTTAACCGGGAATGAATAGTCCAGTGACTATGCTACTGATGTTAAAGATACCCTTAAAAACACAATAGTGTCATAAAGATGGAATTAAGCCATATTTGCAGGGTAATCAGATGAATAGTGCATCAAGGGTCACCGCAAAAAAAGCTTCGAAAGTCACGGTGGAACTTGCTTTGTGCCGTTTCATACAATTATAACCAGCCGACAGTCCTGGCTACTGATAATAACATGTTTGGATATTAGTTTCCATTAGATGTACTCGCTGTCTGAGTGTCATTACTCTAGAGACACAAGTCTTCGTTAAGTGGAGCACGTTGCTCATCCTCAACAAGATCTGCCAAAACTGTACTAATCTAGGCTTGGAGATAAACAAATCGTCTTCATTCCACGCGAAAGCTCAATAAGATCGTCAAACTAAACAACACAGATACATTGAGACTGCTAGACTGAACATAACATGGAATGCAAGAGACACATAAGACCAACACTCACACTGACTGCCTAGCTGTGTAGGTAATATGAAACCTCTCAAAGTGAAGCGACTGAGCTACTACGTAGATATCAAAGTAAACAGGACACTGGCGCCACTAGCATTGCGCAGGGTGTTATGGACTCCCATGTGCGTGTTAGACGGAACGGTAAAACATACATGCTGGTGGGCTTTTCATACTATGACTGTCCAAACTTCGGTCACTGATAAAGAAGTCTATGCACGTAGTCTACTGACTGAACCAACTGGCTCAATTTGATGAGCACCATGTGGTTGATATAGAGCTAATTATCTAGTGAATTATCACACCTACTCAACGTGTAATGAGGGAAAATGCAATAGCAATATCCAATAGGTACATTTTAAATGTCCCTAAATGCCCTCGTGTAGGACAGATGCATTATACTTCCAATTAGGCTGTTTGATAGGTGTCGAACTGACGAAATACATATGTGATAACTAACCTTCGTCATCAGAATCCAGGTCTCCATCCACTCCATCATCGCCACCATAATCATTGAAATTTGACATCTGAGAGAGCATACTAGAGAAATTGTTTCCATCCATATCAGGTTCGGAGTCATCTTCATCTTTCCAGCGGCTGAAATCGGTCTTTAGCCAGGCGCATTTAGTCTTCTGAGAGAGAAGGCGAGGCCATGAGCCTGGTTCTTTCTTTTTGATACACAGTACAACTTCACGACCAGATGCGGAAATCTTGGGGTCCTGAAGACATAGACATTTAAGTACATCAACATACTTCTGTGCAAACTGGTGCATAAAAATCAAGCTTCACTTCGTAGTCAGTTTGTTTGTCTTTGCCAGCATTAGCTCTAAAAGAACATGCAGATATTTGCTTAGTGATAAACAAACTGTACCTGAACTCCAATGACTGGTCTTTGATATCGATTGTTTTTTTCTTTATATCAGTGAGACTTATTGTGATATACAAGCAATCATTTCTCTGAGCCCACAAGACTGGAGGTTGAACACTGAAAAAGGATTACTAGTCAAAGTCCCAACTTACGCAACTGAGTGGTCACCCGACATGTTAGTAAGCAAAGTAACTGCACGCTAGACAATTCTAGAGTAGCAACTCAGTTAAACACTCAATTCAATGTCCAATTTTAAGAGAAGGTGATTCAAGACTAGCACTTTTAGGCAGATTGCAGCCTGATGGAATAAATGTGAATATTTCTGGCCAAATCACAGTCCGCGAATATTCTTACCTATCTAAGTGGCTTGGACACATATCTTATGCCATTAGTCGATTTTCACTGCAAAAAATGCGAAAACTGAAACATTCCGTAGAAAGTTACTTACTCGTAGATCCATGCAAGCAGCCTCAAAAACTAAATGTTTGTTGGGGGCTTTTGATTCTAAATAAAGGAATTTGGATTATCGAGTGGTACTTTAGTTTGTGTGTACTGGATAATTTCAGTTTTGATTTTTCATATATTCTGTTCATGCTGTTTCTAGTTGACTGTATTGGGTTTTTCGAACGCCTCTGTGTACACATATTTCACTTGCTATTAGGCTAGATTATTCATCGTCATGTGAAGAGGAGATGAAAGCGTGTGTACAGACTTGCAGCCAAGTGAAAACTCTAGCAGAGAACCGAACGCAATGGAGACGCCCTATGTTCCTCTAGGAATTAAAGGAAACAATAATAATTCATCGTCTCCGGAAAAATTCTTGATGATGGCCAAACTTCTACTTTGTCACAAATGGCCCTCCCCTGGCATAAAAACCCTGTCAATTAGACCTGAAAACATTGTAGCTGATGACAGAATATAGCTCAGAACTATGAGGCGACCAAGACAAAGCCCTTCAAATTACAGGCCTATCAGTCTCACCAGCACTTTAATCAAGACACTGGAAAGAATCATCAAGGAAAGCATAATGGCATATCTAGAAAATAGAAGCTTATTATCAAGAGCACAGCATGGCTTCCGAAGGAACCTCTCATGCCTGTCAAATCTTCTCACTTCAAGAGAAAGCTGAGTCAAATCCAGGGACAACAGAAGACCCGTTGACATCGTCTTCATAGACTTCAGCAAAGCCTCTGATAAATTACCCCACAAAAGACTACTCATGAAGTTGGAAAGTCTTGGTATCAAAGGCAGCTTACTAAACTGGTTCAGGGAATTCCTCATAGATAGGAGGCAGAGGGTTAGGATCAACTCGGAACTCTCCTCTTGGACAGCAGTACGCAGCGGAGTGCCACAAGGCACGGTACTCGGACCTCTCCTATTTATTTTGTATATCAATGAGTTATCTCTGCTCACCGACTCCCCTATGATCCTATACGCAGATGACTTAAAAATTTGGAGAGAGATGAAGGGCAACAGTGACACGTCCACGTTGCAAGAGGACCTCAACAAATTGTCAGAGTGGTCCATAGAATGGATGCTCCCGATAAATGTGGCAAAATGTGCAACCATGAGCATTGGACAAGCAAGCACGAGCTCCTACGAACTAGGGGGAATTACACTTCCATCAGTTCAGACTCACTTGGACTTAGACGTCATAGTTAGTCACGACTTAAAAACTACAGCACACTCTCGCGCGGTGGCTGCACGTAGTTTCAGGTCATTGTGGGCAATTCGCAGAGCCTTCACTAGAATCACCAGAGATATGTTCACCTCCTTATATACATCTCTGGTGAGGTCAAGACTGGAAAACTGCATCCAGGCCGCCAGCCCTTGTCTAAAAGGGGACTCACTTATTCTAGAAAGGGTTCAAAGGAAAGCAACACGTATGATTCATGGCATGACTAACTTATCATACGAGGAAAGACTAGACAGTTTAAATCTCTTCTCATTGTCATACCGTAGGCAGAGAGGAGATTTAATCACAATGTTTAAAATTTTAAATAATGACTACGGACCTGACCTATTCTCTCTTTTCCTTCCCACCAGGTCGGAACACCTTAGAGGACATAGCAGGAGAGTTCAAAAGCCAAGAAGAAATCATATTGCTGTTGAGTACTGGTTCTCACACCGAGTCATAAACTCTTGGAACCGATTCCCAGAAGAAGTGGTGTCTGCAACCTCAACTGATTCGTTCAAGAAGGGTTTGGACAACCACAGAAATTTACTAGAAAAGGATTAACATAGGCTCCAAGCCTTCTATCCTCAACCAATATATCTGAAATCTGACGAAAAAGCTCACCGTCATTTCCCTCAGGCACCCAGTGGAATGTTTACCTATGGAAACTAACGAGCACTGGACATACTTGCTAACCTTCTAAAATATCAGATTTTGATTCGCAAAACTTCTATCCGAATGCAAACACTTCCCCGAAAACCTCTGTCATCTGAGTTTATTGCCGTATCTGGTTAGAACCGAATGATTCCCCTATAGCCGCCATTAATTGTCTTTTTGGATAGTTTGTATCTATTCACATATCGTTTTTATTAATCTATGCGGCACAAAATCTTCAAGGCTTCCATCAAGTAAGTTACAGTCTGCCTTTTGTTCATGCTTATAAAGGTTATCTTCTTGTTTTGACTGCATTCGAATCCAAATACTTACAGTATCTTCGCACTTTTTTCATGGCTAGGAGAATGGTACTTCATTAGTGACCTACAAAAGTGTGAATTCTACCAATTTATCATGGTGATGAATCAGTTCCGAAAGAGTCAGAAGTCCGTCTTTCGAATCCTGACACGTATGTTCATCCCACTCTCATTCACAGTATATGCAGGTATGTCTGTCCTTTTGCGAGAAAACAATTGAATTGAATTCACCCAAAACGACACCATATTAGGCAATCTGGATGTCATTTCGATGGGTGTGCCTGTCCTGATACACCATTATGGTGGGCTACTCACAAAAGTATAAAAATGGCTTATAAAACGTTACTTAGTTTACTGTAAACGATGTTTTAAGCAATAAAATCTGCTAGAGGCTCACCACAGCAGTTAGAATTCAGTGAAACATGCAGAGAAGTATCAATTAAAAAGGCGCGCGCTTCGAAAAGGAGAGTGGCATTTTTACGTTGTGAAGTAACTTCTGCTTTTGTTGTGTAAATCGCATCAGAAGCCTTTTGGTTTACTTTAACTGGTTTAATTAGTTGAAGTAGTGTTTATTTTTGCGCACTTTTGTGACTTTTTGTGTGGTTTTATATCTCAGTATTTAGGTTTATATATATACATATTGGTGTATAACTTAAACAGCTGACATGAGTTTGCACTGGCTTATCACCACCAGCCTATAGGAGATGCAGCAAGCCATCATCTCCGTGGATGTGCAAATTTTGTACAAACCCGTTGGATGTCCTCATCCAAGAGGCCGTAGGACTTCTCATGTCCAAGAAGTTACCAAAAACCACTGATGAGGGGAAAAATGCAGCATCTGGTACAGATGTTATAAGCGAGGATTCTGGCCTTAGTCATAAGACTGAGACAGAACCACATCCCCTAGCTTCGAAAGAGGCAACAGAGGTAAAGTGTGCCCAGCAGTCTGCAACAGCACACAAAAAGCCCCGAAAACCTAGGAGGGCAAACAGTGCCAGCATTGTAAGACAGCAGAGTGATACCACAACGATAAAGCGTTTCGTGTCTGATGAACGCACGGCTTCCAACTGTGGCGTGAGTAAAGTGGAACTATCTGATTCCACCTGGCTAGTGCCGAAGAATAGGAAGCTCAAGAATCATAATAATAATAACAATTTATATTTCGTATAAACAGGTAAGTTTACATGAAATGCATGCCATTTTTACAGGCACGATCAATTATGTTACGAATTACAATTATGAATTAGCATACATTATCACTTTCTTTTAAAAAGTTCAAATTGTTGAATTATAGTACAAGCAATCCGAACAGATTTTAATAATTGTTAATTTGTAAATCTTTCACGAAGGTCTCCATCGAAGCTGAGCGACAACCCATACTTCGTTCCATTTCCTGATGATAGTAATGGCCCATCGATAAACAACATATATTTGAGTGAGTACTGTGACCCCACGTGCTTGAACGCTCTTTCAGGAATAGGAGAAAATCCTGCACAGCTACAAAGTGGTATAAAATGCAGTCATGAATAATACATTATTGGAAGTATATTTAAAAATACAAGAATAAGCTATACAGTACTTGATATGATAGTGCACATGTCAATGGACGAGAACATTGAACGTTTGTTTATTGGAACTGGCAGCCATCGGTGGGTAACTCGAAGGCGCGAATGGTACGATCGCGTGCAAGTTGGAAAAAGGCGGAAAGAACACGAATAAAAGCACTTTATAACTTCATTCGTACTAAATATTTGTTTGTAGACTTTGTATTTTGTCTTGCTTTAATTGCCAAACAATATAAATTCGTTCAAGGAACACTGGTGTTTTGGATTTAAAGTTGAAACAAATATATATTTATTCCTGTTTATGCAGGAACATACCAATTGTACAGGCATGGATAAGTTATTATATAAATTACATATATTTCGATATATGGTGAATTTACAGTTTGTTTGTTCTTTCTGACATTAGAGTCAGTCGGAACAGTCTGCAAAATAGTCTGTCTGTGTAACACATAAAGAGATATAGAAATATTGTCTTCGCATTAACAAAAAACCCAGACATCAAATGAATGTAATACAAATATCTGGGAAAAATAAAGCTTGAAGTCAATTCTCCTATATAACTTTGTTGCGAACAGCATCATTGACTTAAGGTTCATTGATGTATAATGTTGAGATCATTGATATATTTATTCCAATTTTTTTCAGCAGTCTAATCGTAATTTTATAATAGGAAAGAAATTTGATTGTTGATACGAAAATTAGATAAGGTCATGTTACATTGTTTTACTGCATCAAATGGGGCCGAGGTCGATTCTAGAACTATCCATTGGCGCCATTTGTGTCAGCATGGCAGACTGTACATGTAAGTTGAGTAATGTTCTGACAGCTGCATTTCAGATCCCAATGACTCATTAGATAGCAAAATTCTGCTCCTTCATGCCTCTTTCGACATTTTTGTATGGATTGGCTCGCATTTACTCAGGTTCCAGACCGAAAAGAATAAAAAATTCACCAGTTGCTGAATTATGATTACTTTTCTGCATGTTTAACTGGATAATAACTGCTGTGGTGAGCCTTTTGCAGTTTATATTGCTTAAAACATCGTTTACGGTAAACTGAGTAACGTTTTATAAGCCATTTTTATACTTTTGTGACTAGCCCACCATATCGACCGAATGTAACGCAACACTCAGTTGTTTCGCTCATGTT